TGGATTTCTCTTTTGGTTGTGAAGGTAGTGGGGTTAAGGTGTGGGAGGGGTAGGGATTGGGGTTAAGGATAAGGTATCGCATTTAAAGATTAAAGTTCTGTTTGAGCACACAGTTATCTTCTAATATGTATAAAGTCATGTGGTTAATATTCATTCCTTAAGTATAGCACTTTGCTAGTTCTTACAGAGAATATAAAAGAAATAAAGAATACATCTCACTTAATATAGCTCACTTAATTGTCACCACAGTCCTGAGAGGTCGTTATCACTATTCCTGTCTTACAGAGAGGTTAAGTAGCTTTTCCAAGGTTACAAAGCTTCTAAGTGACAGAACTAGGATTTGAACATAGGTCTATTTTGATTTTGTTTCAGAGATGAGGAGGCAGCACTGTGAATGCGGACAGGGAAGTTTGCTATGTAACTTTGAATCACAAGGTGATCTCATTGTATATAAACTATGTGAAAATAATTCTGCTTTCACCACTGCCCCCCCATTTGGTCTTTATCACCACATATGAACCCACACCAAAGTTGACTTTGATTACCACTATCTTTAATTATAGAGGGAAGACACAGTTGTGTTCAGTCATGCTTAAACTCATGTCACACTGATGAGGGTTCCCTCTGTTTCTTAACTAGTCTCTCCCAAAATGCCAATCAAAAAATGTCAAAATTAACTGCTGATTTTAATTATGTTAAGAATTTGGGGTTTATACCATACAAATGAATACACTGCTCTTTATATTGGTTGACTTTTTCACATAAATATGCCCATTTCTCACAGAAATGAAAACCAAGTTGCAAATCTCGTCAGTGTGTTAACAGAACTTGGTTTCAGAAAACCCTGGGTTCTCATCCCAGCTCTTTTTGATCCCAGCCATGTGAGCTGGGAGCTGTCCTTCAGTCTTGCCAAGTCTCCGTCTTCCACCGTAATGTTAGGAGTAATATTTAGTCCTGTGTCTATAGTACAGGTGTTTGTGAGAATCTAAAAAAGTGTTAAAGTATTTTTAAAACCATAAGGTAGTGTGCAATTTTACGGTATTATTAATTCAGTCATTCTACAAATACGTGTTCCTGTTGCCTAGGAGTACATGTGTGAAAAACATGGCTTCCAGCCTCCAAAGAGTCTTGTGGGAAGACTGACATGCAGACAGGTAGTGTGCTGCAGTAGGTGTGATGGGGGTGTGTACCAAGTACAAGAATCTAAGGGAAAGAGCCCCTGAGTCTATCTGGTGCGACCAGGGAGGACTTCACAGAGGAGACGGTGTGAACTGAGACTTCAAGAATAGAAATAGTTTGCCCTGATGAACTAAAAGGGGAAGAGAATTACAAGCAGAGGGAAAGCATATTTGAAAACCTAGAATAATTTACTCCATCTGAAATTGGAAGCACAAGGTAAAAAGGTAAAGACAAACAGGCAAGGGACAAATTATGGAGAGCCTTTGAATACCATGCTAAGGAGTTTAGATTATGTATGGGAGGAAGTATAAAGTCACTGAAGAATTTTGAGCAGACTTTTTGTCATGTTTCTGCGCTGTGGATTATTGGCATGGGCCAGGGAGCAGGGAGTGGAGAGAAGGAGGCTCTTGCAATTATCCAAGAGAGAAAGTATAAAGAGAGTAGAAATACAACTGCTAGATTTTATGCCTGAGTGACTGGCAATATATTAAAAAATAAGGAAATCCTACATGGATTTGGTTTTGAGGGAGACCTTCAGCTTCAAGTAGTGTCATTATGACAGGTCATTTGAATGATCGTTTGAAGGAAGGAGAGATCCAGCAGGCAATTAGAGAAGCAAAACAATATGTCTGTGCTAGAGATGTCACTGTGGTGAGAGCTGAAGCCAGGAGACCTAGGAAATAAGAGGAAATGGGAAATAAAGCAGAGAAGTTACATCACTGAAGGAAATGGGAGAAAAAGTACCAGGGTGGTGTCACAGATGTCAAAAGAGAGTTCCAGGGGAGATAGTCAATAAGGCCTAATGCTGGAGGGAAAAAAGAAAAAGCTCAAAGGCTAAAAGACAACCAATTAAGAGGCTGCCTGTAATCTCAGAATTGCAAGGCTAGGAGTGAAAAGGAGTAACGTTTGGAAGTGAGCAAATAATTAGAAAATAGAAACAAACACAGACAAGTGTAGTGTAACACATTCAGACGGTAGGTTAGCTGGTGGCGCCATTTCTCATCAGAACAGTAAGGGACAGATGGAAATGCCAGCATATAATATAAATTGCTGTTTTTCTTCGTGTCCTGAACACCATAAACTCCAAGTCCATTGAACTGATCAGAACCATTCTTTCATGAATACTGTGATATGCTTGTGTCCAAAAGGAAATGAACTGCAGTTGTCACCTTCATCTTTGCCTTGATTCATGTTGCTTGCTGTTTCTCCTTAGTGCCAGATCAACAACAGTAAACACAAGCACTATCCTCTCTAGCTAGCTGGAATGCGTACTAAAGAAATACAAACATTTTACCAGGATTTCTTAGTTATGGTAGTAAAATGAAAGCACTAGGGCAACGTCAGTTCTGTGTCTAATTCATTTCCTTGTCAGATGTGAGTTTTTTATCTTAACCCTGATGAGCATGGCCTGAAGCGTAGGTAGTAGGTCAGAGGCCTGTATTTAGGGGTTCTAGTATTATGTAACTGAGTCTATGGATGAGTCACTTAAAGTAACCGTTCTTACACCAGGGAGGCTACAGTAATTTCAGTGTTAATAACTGGATAGGACTTTGAGAACTTGAGATAGGACACTTCATAAATGTTGCATGTCATCTTCTAATATGCTCTGTTAAAATAGCCTACCAACTAAATTGGGCTTTCAAAGGATAAATAAAAGTTCAGTAGAAATTTCCAGATTTTGTGAACATAAAACGATCTGGGCTCATACCTTCGGATGATACTGATGATTCCATGCAAGCTACACTTCTCTCAGACATTCTTTCAATTAAATAACTTCCTTTCCATTATGATTAATTTTATCCAGTGAAATAAGTTGGTATAGTATCCACTAGAATTCAGAAATTCTTGAAGCTCAAGGTTAGAACATGGTAGAATTTCCTTTTAAAGTCTTTTTGGAGTGAAATCTCTTTACAATGATTCCTGGGTAAGTTGTCCCATCCTCTAGTCTTCAGAGTCTTTACTGAACCTTGAAAAAAATAAAATAAATAAATTTAAAATGTATTTGTTTTTTCAGAATTTGGTGTGAGGTATCTCCAAATTTGGTGAAACCTGGCAGAGTAGCCAGTGAGAGAAAATCATCCAGTAGATATTTGGGCCTCTTTTTAGGGAAGTATTATCAATGAAAACTTACTTGCTATTTTTTTTTCTTCTTTTTGACAATGGTTTCATTTCCTCTTCTGTGATACTCCAAGTGAAAGGAATAGAAGAGTTTTGTTACCAGTGGCATAAAGAACTCTACTGAGCACCAACCTGGTGGGCAGTAGAGAGATAGTCCTAAGTGTCTGCAGTTCTGCAGGCTAGAGCAAATGTGGTAAGAAGGCATGTCCCAAAGGGTCTAGCACCCTTTCTTTAATACCCAGCTTTATCTTGCTTCCAAAAAATGTTACTGAGAATTTTTATATACAATACACTGTGTTAGGCACTCCAGGGAAGATAAATAACTCAGAATTTCTGTCATAATGTAAATAGAAATACACACACATGTTATATACATACACACATATATACATGCATGCATACATTCACACTTAAAGGAATATATCAGGGGCACCTGGGTGGCGCATTCGGTTGGGCATCAGACTCTTGGTTTTGGCTCAGGTCTGATCTTGGGGTCGTGAGATTGAGCCCTGCTTCAGGCTCCGCACTCAACATGGAGTCTGCTTGAGATTCTCTCTCTCCCTCTCCTGCTCCTACCCCGACCCCCCTTCACATAAATAAAGGAAATCTTTTTGAAAAAAGAATATACATCATTAGGATGCTTTGAGCTAGAAGAACTAGAATATTCCAACCGAAATGGAGTATACATGTATTTTATAAATGTACAAAGTATGCAATAATGTATAAAGTAAAAGTTTAAATGTATTACTTCATATAACAAGTCCAAACTTCAGGCAGCTTCTGATGCCATACAGTCAGGGCTTAGGCTCTATTTTTCTCCATTTCTCTTAGTTTAGCCCTTCTGTTAGCTTTGTCTTCAGACCAGATGACCACATGATTGTGAGAGAGCCATGGCAGTTCTGAGTATCATGGGCTGATAAGACAACATGCAGAGGCAGAAAAGAGAGTTTTCTCTTTCTTAAGAGATCAGGGATCCATTTTCAAGGAGAAAGGGGAGTGGATGCCGTCGGGAAACCTACAGTCAAGTAGAGAAGAGAGCATGAAATAGTGTGCTACATACTGTACAAGAGAGATATACAATCTATAATGCTTGTACCAAAAAGAAAATACTCCCTGTTTCTCAGCTGCGGGGAAGGTGGAGGGGATCAAAGAAGACTTCACTTGGGGAAGAGGTGGTTAATCCGTCCGGGGATTTGTTGAGCTTGACATACTGCGGGACCTCCAGGTGGAGAAAGCCAACAAACAGCTGGATGTATATGGTATAAGTCTCGGAAGTCTAGATCAAGAAGAAGACACAGTGGTGGTGAAGGCTGTCAGGATGGATGAGCTAATGGAGCAAGGACAGACTAGGACCAAAAAGGAGATCCTGAGGAGCACTGACATTTAAAGCATGGGTAAAATAAGAGGAGAGTTCACAGAGACAAAATAAAATGAATCTTTTAATGCCATCTGTGTGTGGGATGGGTGTAAGCCAACTAGAAATGACATTTTGTGATATTCACACATGTGATCTGGGTGAAGGACTGGTAAAAGCTAGGGACCTTTCAAAACCCATTATTTGCCCAGCAGCAGGTACTCTACTCTTAAGAAATTGGTTGAATGAGAGAGAGTTTTGCTGGAGGTATGGCTGGACCTGGACAGTCCCCCACCCAATGCAGAACGGGGGCATTACAATTCTAAAATGAGTCTCTTTTTCTTTGCAGGAGTGGTCACACATTACTTGCTTTCTGGTTTTCCCGCCAGGAGGGAAAACTAAACCGACAGCAGACTATTGAACTGGGACATCACATCCTCAAAGCACACATTTTTAAGGTAATTAAGAAAAGTTGAAGGCTTTTTTCTTTCTATCTCCAGCAGGCTTTCCTTAACACTGTGTATGAAGCTACTCTCATTTCAGTGTAGTCCCTGCTTTTTGTTACAAAATGTGGCCTGTCCCTCTCTAGGCTTTTGGAAAAGAGAACCACATTTGTCATCTCCCAGCTTAGCTGATTGCTAGACTTTTCAGGAAATGTACGTGGATAATCGCTTAGGTAAGAAGCATATACACACATATATGTGTGCTCCATGTATGACTACTCTCCTGAAGACAGGCACGCTGTAGCAGTTAGTTGCAGATTTTCACAATGTCTAAAAAAAAAAAAATCACTGAGAGCAGTTACTCTTTCAATTTTCTTATAATTGTTTTTTGAAGATTTTAATATTCCTAGTGCTACGATTTTCCAACTATTTATCTGGAACCAACATTAACCTTTCTTTGAGCTACTTCCCCCATTCTCCATTCAAACTGTAATCCTGGTTTTTCTCTCAGTAGTTTCAAAACTTCTAAGAACTCTATGGCATCAGCTTCCCTCTCTCAGCATTCACAAGCTGGGATGGACACATAATGCTGGAGGACAGAACATACTTTGTCTGTGCATGTATGCGTTCATCTGTTTATTCAGCACTTATGTAGGCATTGTACTAGGGATACAAAACAGAAAAAGATAAAGTCCCTAATCTCAAGGAATTTAGAGTCTAAGTAACAGTTGTGGGATAAAGCACAAAAGTCGGGAAAGAAATTTGTTCTCCTGGTTTTTCTAGCCCACAGTTTGCTATTGCATTGCTTATTGCATTGCTACCTCCAGTTCCTGCAGTCTCTTCAGAGTGCTTTTCCTGCCTCAGGATGGAGAAATACAAGTATCTTAAATAGTTCTCTGTGTCGGACTTCCCACCCCCCCACCCCCCAGGGGATACCGTTGAAGATAAAAGAGTTCTCTTCAGAGAGAAGGATGGCATTAAGGGCAGCTCCGAAAGCCTAGCAAATTCTTCCCAGTATATAAGCGCACAGCTGGGAGAAGCCTGATCGACAGACATACAGAAGTGGAACTCATGGTGACAAGTCCTTTATTTGAATCATAATTGTCTTATCTAACAAATCGCTGTACCAAAAATGACTCTACCCAGTGACCTTACTTAGTGGGAGCAGAGTGAGACTAAAATAACAGGCCAGGTGTCTCATTCCAACTTCAAGTGGACCAAAAAGTCTCTGCTACTTCTACAAACTCTGAGATCATTATCCTTCTGTTAGATAGGAAAGTAACATAAGTATTAAGCATTACCGCTTTAAACACTTAAGCTTTTAGCCTCACCATCTGCCTAGGATCAGATGCAAAGAAGTTGATTCCTGTCTTTTCTGTACCATAAAATAAACAAATGCTGCATTAACAGATAAATGATATGAAATTTCTTTGACCCAGTGTGATTATATCCAATACACGGAAACCTACATTTAAAGCACACGCTCCTATCGTTGACACGGTTTTATCTTATGTTGCTACAGACAACATGGTTGCCTGAGATAAGACTGGCTCCGTGTGTGATTCAGGCCATAAATACTCGGGTGTGCAGCATATGGTGATGACATGACCGTGGCCTGAAGAATGTAGACTTGGACTATGGCTTTCCTGATGGTCCACTTTTCAGGGTCCTTTAAATGCCCAGTGCTCCCTGTTGATTCACTTTAGCTTCTCCCAGCTGCTAGAATTTTCAGTCCCCATCAGTTGAGGGTCATGAAAAGGCAAAGACAGACTCTGTGGTTATAACCAGTACCATTCAGAACTTCCAATCAGCAGTGACATATCGTCCAATTTATATTTCTTTCCAATTAATTTTAAATTCCCTTTGTTTTATCTTTGTTCATGAAAAATTGTGTACAATGTCATTAACCACCTTAAAAGTACGAGGTTGTAGGCCTGTAATTCTGGATATTTGACTGGCTAAGGAGCTCTTTTCATTCTTTTTGTTTTTAACAGCTTTATTGAGGTATAGCTTATATACCGTAAAAGTAACCCATTTTAAGTGTACAAATCAATGACTTTTAGTGTATTTACAGAGTTGTGTAACTATCACCACTATTTGTACATTTCCATCACCCTAAAAATATACCTCATGCCCACTTCAAGGTACTCCCCATACTTCCTGGCAACCACCAATCTGCTTTCTGTCTCTATAGATTTGACTTTTTTACACATTTTATATAAACAGAATCATACAGTATGTGGCCTTCTGTGTCTGGCTTCTTTCACTTAGCAGGTTTTCAGGGTTCATCTGTGTTGTAGCATGTATCACTACTTGATGCCTTTTTTTTTTTTTTAGATTTTTAAAATGTATTTATTTTAGGGGTAGAGAGAGCGCACATGCGCAGAGGAGAGGAGCAGAGGAAGAGGGACAAGCAGACTGCACGCTGAGCACAGAGCCCAGTGCAGGGCTCAGTCTCACAACCCTGAGATTGTGACCTGAGCCGAAATCAAGAGTTGGATGCTTAACCAACTAAGCCACCCAGGCGCCCCACTTGATTCTTTTTACTGCCAAATAATATTCTGTTTTGTAGATATACCATAGTTTATTTATCCATTCACCAGTTGGACATTGGGTTTTTTCTGCTTTTTGGCTATTGTGAATAATGTTGCTATGAATGTTAGCTTACAGATTGTTCCCTTTTTTGATTTTTTTAAAATAAAATTATCCATTTGAAAGTGAACAACTCAGTGGCACTTAGTACACTTACAATGTTAGTGTTCAGGTTTTTATGTGAACATGTCTTCACTTCTCTTGGATATATACCAGGATGGAATTACTAGGTCATATAGTAACTCTGTGTTTAACATTTTGAGCAATTGCCAATCTGTTTTCCAAAGTAGCTGCATCGTTTTACATTCCCACCAGCAATGTATGAGAGTTCCAGTTTTTTCGAGCCCTTGCCAACACTTGTTAGATATTGTCTGTCTTATTGTAGCCATTTTAGTGTGAAGTGGTATCTCACGGTAGTTTTAATTTGCACTTCCCTAATGACCATGGTGTTGAGCACTTATAGTTCTTTTGTAATCCTCTAATTGCCATTTAGATTTTTTTTTTTTAATCTATGAAAAGAAAGCAGTCTGTTTGTGAATTGTGGCCAGAGATATTTCAATCCGTCTTGGAATGCAGGGTGTTTCGTTGGATTGAGTCTGGCCACCAAAAGGGTTTCAGAGTGCTCTTGCAATTAACCGCCTAAATGCTGCCCTCTGAAATGTTTCTTTGATTGGTCAGTTCTTTAACATTTCTTACCAGAACAGATCTCTTGGCCAGAGGGGAAAGGTGCTATAAGTAGGCATCTAGTAGGTAGAAGAAAGATCCTTCGACATCAGTCAAAAGGCATGGGTTCAAGTACAGACTCTACCACTTAACTTAAGCAGTCTGTTTTCTCATCTGTAAAATGGTAACAATATCTAACTCTCAGGATTGTTATAAGGATCATAGATATAAGATATATAAAAGAGGTACATTATAAGATGCAAAGTACTAGACATATATCTAAGGTTTTGTGATCAAAATTATTGGTAATAATTTCTTGCCTGATAGTAAGAATTAATAATGAGCATAAATTCCAGATGGTGATATAACCTTTTCAGAGGCTACCTAGCATCCTCTACAGCAGTGATCAGCAAATATGGCTTTGTAGTCCATATAATCTGTGTTGAAACCACTTAACTCTGCCATTGTAATTCAAAAGCAGCTAAAGATGATACAGAAATAAATGGATATGTTCATATTCCAGTAAAACATGATTTATAAAAACTGATGAAAGGCTGGATTTAGCCCCAGGCTATAGTTTGCCAACCCCTTTGTTTACCAGGATCTTTTCATTATAACCAAACATGGCCACACAGATGGTCTGGTAAGAATAGTAATGATTTATTTGAGATGCTAGGGTGACTATAGGTGAGACACTAATGATATATTTGTAAATAATTTGCCTTAAAGAACCTCATTGGTTGAGCCCCCTAGGTAAGTTTTTGCCATGATCTTAACATACGTGAGCGAGAGCTAAGATCCCTAAGTTGAGATTGCTGTCATTTCTTTATGCCTTCCTTGTTGGTATTTAAAACTACTGAGCAGGCTTTCTCCCAGCTGATAAACAGTGTTGTAAATTTAGACTCTAACAAATATTTAAGGAAGGGACTCCATTACCATCTATCTCTGACAAAAAGAGATCCCTTGCTGCCTGAGCAGTAGTTACAGATACTAAAGAAACACTTTTTCTAGTTATTTGAACTTAGGGTTCTCTTTAAGAACCCATCAGCTCAGAATTTAATTACATGTTATTTTTGGCCACATCCTGCCTGATAATGGGATTCTGCCTATCACGTCTGTTGAGATGAATTTAACTAAACTGAAACTCTTTCCTCTTATACCTCATAGAAGCAGAAGAGTCAGCCCCACCAAGCAGAAGAAATCAGTAGAGCAAGTCCATGGCACGAGTAAAGCTCATATTCCAAATCCTAGAGTCTAGCTCTGTATTTCAGGCTTCTTTCCTATGTATTTACTTCAACCTCACTGGGACCCTCAGTGCTGCTTTGTAGTCCAGTTACTGGACCATTTCATTGAAGTTCATTTACAAAGGTCTATTCTTACTCAGTTCCTTTTTCCATTTCTTTTTTATCTGGCTCTTAACCAAGTCGACTAATTCCAAAAACAGCCTGACTTATGAGTCACTGAGTAAATCAAAGCCATTGAGTGTGACTTCCCTTAACCACTCTCCTCCTCCCACCAAAAAATCAATCTACAGTATCATCAGTTCTTACCTCCCTTTCTCTCGTCTCTGAGGAAGAAATATCCCTATCCCCCCCTTTTAAAATTATATTTTAAACATACCAGAAAGCACAGATAACTGAATAATCAAATACAATCTACCAGATTTAACAGATGCTAAGATTTTTCCATATTTGCTTCAAATCTTTTTCTTTATTTTGAAGAAATGAAAATGTAACACATAGAGTAGAGCCCTCTGTTAACCCTATTTCTCTCCCTTTTAGAGATAATTTCTACCGTAAGGTTCACATATATTCTTCTTATCCATATTTTGCATTTTTTCAACATAAAAATATATTCATAAACAGTATACAGAATTATTCCATTAATTTTTACATTTGACATAAACAGAATCATTCTTCATGTAATTCTGTAACTTTTTTTCACTGAATTTTGTTCAGATTTATCTGTAGGTCTAGATCAATGGCCAGTAGCTTTCAATTTTGGCTATACATTAGATTCTCCTGGAGAACTTTAAACACACACACGCGCACACACACACACACACACACACACACACACCCCTGTGCTTTACTCCCAGAGATTATCATTCATGGTTCTGGAGTAGAACCCAGGCTTTTTTTTTTTTTTTTTTTTAATAGTCTTTCTTTCTTAGAGTAGTTTTAGGTTTACAGAAAATACAGAGAATTTCCATTTACTCACTCTCCCACCACAGTTTCCCCTATTATTAACTTCTTGCACTGGTGTGGTACATTGTTATAATTGATGAACCTATATTGACATATCATTAACTGAAGTCCATAGTTTATATTAGGTTTTAACTGTGTTTTATGCTTCTGTGGATTTTGCCAAATGCCTAATATGTATCCACCATTACAGGATCATACAGAAGAATTTCACTGCCCTAAAAATCCTAAAGCTATCAAAAGTATTCCTAGCTAATTCTGCAGAATTAGCAAACACATCGAGGAGAAAAGTAGCTCTAAACTGCTCTCCTGGGCTCCATCCTATCCTTACGTGGTCTAGTAATTCTTCTCCAACCTGTTATTCCTCCCATGTCTTCAGTGAGGATAATTTTTAAATTTTGTAGAGTTTTTCCTAACTGTCCTTAGCAGGATCAAGTTTAGATCCACCATTACCAGAAGTATAGCCAAGTCCCCTTGAGCAGAAATTATGACTTGGTATTCTGGGAACATCCACCTTTTCTCTGAACATCTTAGGCTTTCTCATTTAAAATTCCTTTGGTATCTTTGAATGACCAAAACTGTCCTGGGTATCACACAGAAAAAAAGAAGCAATTTATATTCAAGAAAACTAAACCCAAACTTAGAGGCCCTGAGCAGAGGAATGAGTTGCTGTATCTTTCTGAGAAGTTAAATACAACATTTTCTAAACTCGCTCTGATGCTGGAGACCTTGAGCAAAAGTAGAATTGCTGTGTGACTTTAATAAACACTGGTCCAGCATTCTTCTTCTGTAGGATAATCTTTATAATATTCTGTGGATTAAGTGAACATATCTAAGGAATTTCACGTAAGTCAGTATTTAAGAGAAAGTTGGCTATTACAGGTCATAGTCACAGTTGTGCTTTAAATATCATAGTTAGAAAAGAAATAATGCTTAGTTGAAATCGTAAGAGCAAAGCCCATAGAAGTAGATCAGATTGTCTAGGATAAAAAAGGACAATTTTGGAGAAGGCACTCAAGGGTGGAGAATGGTTCAGAATTAAAGGTAAAGGGAGAAGCCAGCAATCAGCTGCTTTGTTTATTTTAGTTGCTACTTTTCCAGCTAAGAATTCAGAATTAAAGTCCTGGCTCAGGTTTAACTTGGTCTAATGGAAGGAACATGAAGTTTAGAGTTAAAAGGACTTGGCTTCTAATTCCAGCTCCACTTTTTAATGGTTGTAGGACTTTGGGCAAATTACTTAGCCTTCTCTGGGTTGTTTCCTCCTATATAAAAATAGTAATAAATTCAACTTCACAGGACTGTCATGGAGATTAAAGAAACTAACATGAAAAGGCCCTAGCATAGAGCCTGACACATAGCAGATACTGAATAAATGTTGGATTCCCTTTCTTTTTTTCCTTCAACCATAATATATAGAGCTTGTCTTCCATTACTAAAAGCTTCCTCTGTTGAATTATAAATATCAATTTATAATGATTTTTCTGTATAATTGTTTAATACAGTTTACAGTTCCTCAAAAGATCTTGGTGAGGCTCACACATAGTCCAGATTAGGAGACTGAGGCCCAAAGAAGGAGTCAGAGCTAAGTTTCCTGGTTTGCCAGGATCTGCGGTAGAGGTGAGCTCTAGAACCTAACTTATCTGTAAGTAAATTATGATACATCCATATAATGGACTACTATATCTCTCTTGAAATAGAATGAGGCAAAAGCATGTGTACATGTATGGAAATATGTGCACAATATTTTGTTTAAAAAATTAATATAAGAAAATCTCATTTTCCCTTTACGTTTTTAAAGTGTTTTAAAATTGGTTATAGTATATGGATCTTTTACAGATTACAATTTAGAAAAAAAATTATTTCTTTTTTTGAGACAGTCAAGGAAATTTGAACACTGGATATTTCATATTATAGAATCCTTGTTAATTTTAGGTATCATAATGATGTTGGGCCTTGTCTTAAAAAGAGCCTATATCTTTTTAGAGGCATTTACTGAAATAGTTGTATATTAACTGATAAGATGTCTGGGATTTGCTTCCAAATAATTCAGTGATGGGGAAAGGAGAATAGGATCAGGAGTATAAATGAAACAAGGTTGGCCATGAATTGCTGTTTTAGACATAAGTAGGTATTCTAGGCAAGAACAACCAGCATTTCAAGGAACAAAGCAGGCAGAAGTAGCTTAACTTTTTAAGGAGAATACCTCCCCAGATTCACTTATTAGGTGCCAAACTTCACTGTTAGTATCTTCCTTCCTTGGATTGGCTTTGCTGGGCCTGGACCTAGTTAGGGCAAGACTCTATTCTCATTTCTTAGTACAACAAACCTAGAAGTCACTCACTACTCATGGTACTCTTCAGCCGGGCTAATAATTTAACTGTCTCTATTTCTTTTTCAGGGTTTGAGTAAAAAAGTTGGTGTGTCATCTTCCATCCTCCAAGGTCTCTGGATCTCCTATAGCACAGAAGGTCTTTCCATGGCATTGGCATCTTTACGAAATCTCTACACTCCAAATATAAAGGTAGATGCTTGTGAATTACAGATAGATTAAAGAATTAGTTGTGCAGAAATAAAATTGGGACATTTAAGTGGCTATTTAACTGATATTTGACTTAACCTTAGACTATCTCCTATCAGTCAGCCTTTTATTGATAATCTAATATATTTGAAATTGTTGCATTTTATTCTGTGAATTGAAGACCAGACCTGTTGAGCTACTACCTTCTGGCTCTGGTTTATAGGATTAGGTCCTCCTGCTTCTAGGCAGTAAATTGATCTCAGGTAGGCTTTGTTCGGGTAGGAGCTTTTCTGACCAACAGTTCACTTAGAAGAGGCTGTGTTCAGCACTATAGTGTGGGTGGCGTCTGCTCTCATGACTGAGCAGTTCATGGAAAGGAGACATTTCACAACCCTTTCTGAAGGCAAGGTATCAAAAAAGGAACAAGTGAAGATTATAAAATAAAGCAGTTACTAAGTGCTACTAGGTGCTGTTGTGGGGTCCCTGATGACTTAATTAAAGATGACTGAAAGGATGCAACTGAAACTTGCCTAAGTGTAATTTCTGTGTACTTATTTCTAGGTCAGCCGACTGCTGATTTTGGGAGGTGCCAACATTAATTACCGGACAGAGGTTTTAAATAATGCTCCAATTCTGTGTGTCCAGTCTCATCTTGGTTATACAGAAATGGTGGCCCTGCTTTTGGAGTTTGGGGCCAATGTGGATGCCTCTTCTGAAAGCGGCCTGACCCCTCTGGGCTATGCAGCGGCGGCTGGCTTCCTGAGCATTGTTGTACTTCTGTGCAAGAAGCGTGCCCAGGTAATGGCTGCCCCACTCTGATGCTTTGCCTGTCCTCCCTTTCTCTTCCTCCCTGCCGTGGAGTCTTCCTTGTCTCCTGTGTCATCTCATGAGTCTAGGCAGAGCACATCAAATCCAGTAGGGCACAGATCACGGGGAATACTGGCTGTGCAGACGTCCCAGTGCTGGCACACTGGCCACTGCCCCTTCCGCACCACAGCAGAACATGGTTCTAAAGCCCTTGGGAGGCACTTAGGAAGCTGCATTTATCAGCAGCCACAAAAAGTCCCCACCTAACAACCAGGGAATTCTCCGCTGAGCACAGAGGGAGGAAGGAGAAGTGAAGGAGCAAAGAGACTGCAGTGGGAAGTCAGAACTGAACCGTGCCCACAGCCTTTCATGTGTAGAGAAGAGAAGTTAGCCCTGGAGGTAAGAACAGAGGCCAGACTCCCTCACCCTAGCCTTGAAGACCAGCATCATAGAGGTGTGAGGAGGACATGACTCTCTGTGTTTATACTCAAACCCACCAGAGGCACTAGGCAGTGTATCTGCTAGTGAACTTCAATTCTCTGAAGACCTTTCTAAAAAAGTGTTTGCTTTATAGTATCTCAAGAGCTGCTGATATAAAAGAACTCAATTTCAAAATTTTGGTGAGAAGAAAAATTCCGGTCTCAACAATGTAAGCCTCTGGGGAAAATTGTAGCCTTGTGGCATTTTGTTTCAGTCTTGAAAACAGACTGAGGATTTGGGTGGTTTTGCACTGAAATATAAGTAATATGTGTGACCTCGTTCTAAGATGTCCAGTGTTCTCACCAGGGAAGAAAGGGGGACTCTTGAGACTTTTGAGAACTGGGACCTGAGACTCTCAGTGAAGTTCCAGACCCCTAGGTGTCTACTGTGACACAGACCTATAACGTCCACCTATAATGTCCTATTCATTTGAATGAACATCTCATCTCTAAAAACAGAACAACTGGGCCTTATTACTACTGCTGTGAATTCATATCCTCATCTCAGTTGGGACCTCCCTACTGCCCAGTTACCGTTCCATACATCTCTATTTTCCCCAGAGCAGATACGGGAATCATTTGCATTCTCCTCCACACCCTGCCACACCTCTTGGCCTCCTACATTACCAAGACTGAGTTCATCTCCATGTGCCTCCATCTCAAAACTCCGTTAATCCTTACCAACACTCACTTCATGTCTGCCTCAGAGAAGGAAATGTTTACCATCCTTCCCAAAGCACTTGCCTCCACCAGTATTTTTTATCTCTACATGTTGCTTTTCTCTCACAATTCGTTTCACTCTTTTCCTAAATTCTCAACAAACCGGGACGCCTGGGTGGCTCAGTTGGTTGAGTGTCTGCCTTTGGCTCAGGTCATGATCCTGGGGTTCTCTGATCAAGCCCCGCATCGGGCTCCTTGCTCAGCGGGGAGCCTGCTTCTCCGTCTGCTTCTGTGCACACACTCTCTCTCTCTCTCTCTGACAAGTAAATAAATAAATAAATCTTTAAAAATAAAAAATAAATTCTCAACAAACCGATGAATGTCTCCTATAACCCAAAAAAGCAGCTGCCCTCTCTCCTGCCGACCAGGGCTGCGGTCCCATCCCTTCCCTTCCATATCCACCAGTGCTACCCAAAGAGTCCTCTCTACTTGCCACCTCTGCTTCCTTACTGGCCCTTAACCATTTTTAGTCTGGCCTCCATGAGAGAAAGAGGCATTAAGTCATTAAAATCATAAACTTTGGGATCAAACACAACTTGGTCAAAGCTTCCATTTATACTTCCTTTCCCTGAGGGCTTGGGCAAGTCATTTAACCTCTCAGTCTCACTGTTTTCATCTATAAAAAGGATTAGTGGGGTCACCATGAGAATTAAAACTGAGAAAGCCTTTTTAAAAAGAGATGAAATCTTGGGGCACCTGGGTGGCTCAGTCAGTTAAGCGTCTGACTCTTGATTTCGGCTCAGGTCCTGATCCCAGGGTCATGAGATTGAGCCCTGCGTTGCGCTCAGTGGGGAGCCTGCTTCCTCCTCCTCCCTCTCCCTCTGCCCCTCCCCCCGCTTTCTCTCTCTCAAATAAATAAATCTTTTTAAAAAGAGAGATAAAGTCTCTTTTCATCTCTTGCAGGGTCTAATAAATAATACTCTTTAAGAAAAGAAGGGGGGGCACTCCCGGCTGGCTCAGTCGGTAGAGCATGTGACTCTTGATCTCAGGGTTGTAAGTTCAAGCCCCATATTCAGTGTGGAGATTATTTAAAAACAATATCTTTTAAAAAAAGAAAAAGAAAGAAAACACCTAACCTCTTGTCATTCAACTGAAGCTACTCTCGAAAGTCACAAACAACTGCCGACCACCAGATAAAGTAACTTTCTGTCATTTCTCACCCTCTAAACCTGTCCATAGTGTTGGCGGTATTGACACGGCACTTTGCAGAACTCGCAGGGTGGTCCTAGTTCTCCTGCCCGTCTGGTTGCTCTTCTCTCTTCCTTCTCCTAATGTCACTGTTCACTGAGATTTTGTCCTCTCGTCTTCTCCATCCTCAGACTCTCTCCCACGGCATCAGCACCAAAGTACTGAAGAATACAATACTAGCCAGTTATTTGTGGGATGTTCTTCGGTTTTAGTTTGAGATTTTTCTCATCGTTAGGTTGAGTTTATGTATCATCAGCAAGAATACCACAGAAGTGCTGCCGTGCCCTTATAATGCAGCTCTTTGGGAGGTGTATGCCCTTGCTGTGTCCTATCACGGGATGCTAACCTCGATCACCTGGCTCGGATGGTGTCTTCCAGGTTTCTCAGTTATGAAGTTACTCTTTTTCCCCTTTGTAATTAAGAAGTATCTTTGAGAGAGAGATGCTTTGAGACTAGACAAATATCTTGTTTCTCATGCTTTTGTCCACTGATTTTAGGATCCATCAAAGATTCTTGCTGCAGTAACAATTGCTCTGGTGTTTTTACGTTTTCTATTTCCCTCATTCCTTCAGCATTTATTAATTAGAATTTTGATGTAAGGAAGAGCTGTCCCTTCTCCCCTATATATGTATTTTTTTAATTATTTATAGTACTACGGATTCCTTTATTTATTTTATACTAGGACCTATAACCCATTGCCATTATTATTTGTTGCTCAAATTGCCCAAGATTTGGCCTTTGGAAGCCCCTTCAAGTTGGCTCCTGTATCCTTTCAGCTTCCGCTAAAGTATTTTATGAGCATTTCGGTACTTTCTGGCACCACCAGATTTTCCACACTCATCATTTACTATTAATGCCCCAGCCCCAGGAATTAATCATTTCTCCAAGGAGCCAAAGCATCTTTTACTCACCCCCTAGTTTTTGAAAATGTAGTATGAGCATGAAAATTCTCAATGACTATCCATGACCTCTGATTCAAATTCAGGCCACTTAGCCTGGCATTCAGAAATATCCCTGCTCTGGTCCCAGAAGACCCTCTCAACTTTGTAGTTTAAACTTGCCTTCCATGTACCTTACCCTTGCAAAAACTAGAGTTAATCATTTCCTATCTCAGCCAGCTGAGATGGACCTTTTCTGAGTCTGTTTGGGCTGCTATAACAAAATACCACAGACGGAGTGGCTCGTAGACAGCATTTATTTCTCGCAGTTCTGAGGCTAAGTCTCAAGATCACAGTGCCAGCAGATTCGGCAGCTAGTGAGAGCTTCCTGGTGTACGGCCAGCACCTTCTTGCTCTGTTCTCCTGTGGTGGAGGAGGGAAAGCAAGCTCTCTGGGGCCCCAATAGTAGGACACTTCTCACTTCCCAAACATCCCATCTCCATTTAATATCATTACACTGGGGGTGAGAATTCCAACATATAATTTCAAGGGAACAAAAGCATTTAGACTATAGCACCTTTCCTTCAGAATCTGTCCCTAATTCTAGTTAGGCATTCTCTCCAGTTTCATTGCACTTGTACTTTCCTTATGACAGTCTTTATCCTTTGTTGAATAGGTTTTTGTCACACTGGTCACATCTCCCCTACCTTATTTGAAAGTCCTTGAGAACAGAATCTATATTTTACTACCTTATTCACCTTTTCATGCTAGGTGGTACCTTGCACAAAGTAGGCATTCAGTAAACATTTGTTAAATATATTGCTGGTGGGTCAGAATGGCTAAAATTAACAAGTGAGGAAACGACAGATGTTGGCGGGAATGTGGAGAAAGGGGAACCCTCCTACACTGTTGGTGGGAATGCAAGCTGGTGCAGCCACTCTGGAGAACAGTGTGGAGGTTCCCATAGAGCTACCATACGATCCAGCAATTGCACTACTGGGTATTTACCCCAAAGATACAAATGTAGGGATCTGATAGGGTACGTGCACCCCAATGTTTATAGCAGCAATGTCCACAATAGCCAAACTGTGGAAAGAGCCAAGATGTCCATTGACAGATGAGTGGATAAAGAAGATA